CTTTTGGAATCCGTCAATCAAGTTACTAGTCTGGTTTCCTTATTTCTTTCCACTCTGTTACTCTTCCTAACAAAAAGTAACTGAGTGGAGAGAGGTCTGGGAACCAGACTAGTAAGTTAGTACAATCAAAGTTTTCTGCTTTTTCTCTTAATTGAGAAATGAACCTCTGATATAATTCGTCTCCATTGAGAATTATATTCTGAATAATTTTTGTTCATATGGAGCAATATGGCAGTGGAAGGAGACACATCACAATCAGAATATCATTGGCCTTTGCTGTTGTACAGTAAGTAGTGCACTTTGCTGGAGGCGAATCACCAAACACATAAAAATTGCACATCCGTAGTTATACAACTACTTTCGCAGCTATTATTCATTACTGGTTAGAGACAATTCTTGCATGATACCAATTGTCGCCATAATAATACTAATTCTGTTAATAATAATTACCTGATGCTTATTTTTGATCGGGCTTGTCAGTTATAATTGCTCTTTTTTTTAAAACAGGAACCAAAACTTGAATGTGGTCACAAGTTATATTTAATATGATGACAATTGGTAGCAGTGAGAATTGGTCTCTAATCAGTATAGTTATTTGACTTAGTTGCGGTACAATCTGCACTTTCAGAATTAAAATTATGAGGAAAATAGTCATTACCCTAATCTCCCAGATTTGGACCCAGTTTCCCTGATTTTGAACACAAATCTGCCAGATTTGTTTCCAATAAACTTGGCATGTATATTTAATGGGGAAAAAATTCTGTCTGCAATGGGTAAAAATGATAATTTACAGATTGGTAATCAACTGTCATTCAAATGATTATCTTTGTGATAGATCAGGAAAGGGCTTTTGATGATTAATTTGCCTGGTAGTAAAATTTTAAAGTGGATAAAAATGTGTGTCCCAGCTCACACATCCTCAGGGATGAATGTACCTGATAGCCAGAACAAACAAACATTAAGTGAACTGTTAACCAGACTGTATAGGTATTATGGTTAGGTAGGGTTATTATAGAACCAGACTGTACAGGTATTATGGTTAGGTAGAGTTATTATAGAACCAGACTGTATAGGTATTATGGTTAGGTAGAGCTATTATAGAACCAGACTGTATTGGTATTATGGTTAGGTAGGGTTATTATAGAACCAGACTGTATAGGTATAATGGTTAGGTAGGGTTATTATAGAACCAGACTGTATAGGTATAATGGTTAGGTAGGGTTATTATAGAACCAGACTGTATAGGTATTATGGTTAGGTAGGGTTATTATAGAACCAGACTGTATAGGTATTATTGTTAGGTAGGGTTATTATAGAACCAGACTGTATAGTTATTATGGTTAGGTAGGGTTATTATAGAACCAGACTGTATAGGTATTATGGTTAGGTAGAGCTATTATAGAACCAGACTGTATTGGTATTATGGTTAGGTAGAGTTATTATAAAACCAGACTGTATAGGTATTATGGTTAGGTAGGGTTATTATAGAACCAGACTGTATAGGTATTATGGTTAGGTAGAGCTATTATAGAACCAGACTGTATTGGTATTATGGTTAGGTAGAGTTATTATAGAACTAGACTGTATAGGTATTATGGTTAGGTAGGGTTATTATAGAACCAGACTGTATAGGTATTATGGTTAGGTAGAGCTATTATAGAACCAGACTGTATTGGTATTATGGTTAGGTAGAGTTATTATAGAACCAGACTGTATAGGTATTATGGTTAGGTAGGGTTATTATAGAACCAGACTGTATAGGTATTATGGTTAGGTAGAGCTATGATAGGTATATATAAGAATATCTTCACCTTTTGTTGAGCCAATATTAGTGGGAAGCAAGACATTAGAATCAGTTTTCAGACAGCAGCAGTGGTAGTAGTGTTCATGATGGTTTGATATGGTTTAGTTACTTTTTTGTTTTCATATACTTCCTTCCTTGTCATCAATCATTGTGAAGCTAAGAATTCATTCTACTGCATGCTTACTGACATTATGGGCCAAGGTTCAAGTCAGAGAAAATTTGTGTATAGGTTTTGGTTATAGCTGTTTATTTGTTTATATTTCCTAAACCCCTTGGGTTGAGCCTAACGGAATATAGTAATGATCTGATATCCAATATGGCAGTCATGGTGGACATCTTGAAAACACAGATTTTGCTACTTCCTTTGGACCGTTGGTCATATTTACATGGGTTTTCACTAAACAACTTGTTAGGCAAAAAAAATATGTTTCTGGTCAGTTGACTCTCCCAGTTTCTCATTGCCAACCCTAGCACTTTATTCCTCCCATGGTAAAAAACAAAATCACATTAATTATATGTTTTTAAACAAGACCTTCCTATCATAATTTTAAAATTAGATAAATGTCCTTATTATGTCTAGAGGGTTATACATGATACACAGCTAATTTAACAGGTGCCAGACACAAGCCTAATGTGAAAAAAGAAAAAGCTAAGAATAAAATATATTGAGTGACAAAAGTTCCTCAGATTGATTTCTTGATCTGCATTGACATGGAATTGATAATTACACTGTACAGATGTAGGTTAATACTCTGTTCCACACCTCACTCATACTTAACAATCTTTATTATAACACAGTTTTGGATATAATACTGTTCTGCTATGGACCCAGTGACCTAAATGAAACCATTGTACTTGGCCTATAAAATGAATGACCTTATGCATTTTAAGAAAATAATTTCTAATTTTATTATTGTTTTCAGAACATTATTGTCTGGCAGAATTTTAAAATCCTTTAATGATCTTGATATGTTACATTATGGAGATAATGAAAAAATGTCCCCTGGATTTGCTGAATGTGCTGACTGTAACCTTACCCACCCACCCCTCCAATTGGGGTTATAGTGAGAGCTGTTTATATGGAAGCCAATGTCAGTATGCATCCTGTACTTGGATCAACTCGTCATTGCTTCATTCACTGTACATATTTTGCCTATTTCAGGATACAAATTGTAAGATATTGCACAAGTCTGACAATTTTGAAAAACATCCTTAGAGTCATTGTGATATTGTATAGTACAGCTTTGATTAAAAATTCACAATGAATTAGAATGTGGTACCTAGATATGCATTGTCAAACAGCTGTATAGTGTTTTATAATGTACAATATGACCAGTTCTTGTCAACTTTAGCTTTTTTCCTAGTGATTCAAAATTGGCTATGCAGTCATACATATTCTAAGAAGAAAAGAAAAACAGAAAACCCTCACTAAACAATCCTTTAAGCAGAAATGAGAAACTGTTATTTACTGCAATACACATGTACAAGTTGTATCAAACTGCAAACAAAGATCCAGATCTACCATAGCATAATGTGCCTTCATATCAGTGTATATGTTATTTATTCTACTGATTACTCCTAACAAACTGCACAAACCCAGATCTACTGGCATATTATGTGATCTGGGTCTATGCAGTTGGATTGTTATAAGTGAGTATATATGGTAATTAAATTGCCATAGGTAGTTCTTGTAATTATTTAATTAATTGACATGGGTCACAGTTTTGTAAACATTTACAGGCAATAAACTAAACTTAGACACACATATTAGCTTTACTTTATACTGAGGATAAAGCATCACCCTATTGGCAGTTGTTGACTCCAACTGTGGCATTATAACAAGGGAGATCTGTATTACTGAACTTAAATTGTCATTCATATTCAGCCTAATCATAAGAAAAGCATAACAACTTGTATAATTCTAATTTCATTTCAAGAATGTTAAAATCTACAGCTGTCATACTCTAAAAGTATTTGATGAAATCCAAGGCATGAAATATGGTTTTTAAAAAAAATTGTCTTTTATGTCATTCAATTCTGCATTTTTTTTCTTGGCCCTGATTTTTTAAAGTCTTTCCAGTACAAAATCCAGATAGATTTTACACAGATTATTAAATATTTATTGTGAAAATAATCAAATCCAGTAGAGCCTGATTGGTAGTCCATGTGTAAAAGCAATAAGAATTGAGCTGCTGTACAAGCCCTAAGAATTGAGTGCATCTGACCTTTCTATTTCACATTAATCATTCTTATTCATTCCATCCCTATTGATTAGTCTTTTTGTGAACATTTTACAGCAGTAAGTGAGAACCATGGTATCTGGCAAGATCAATTTTCTTATTTGTAGTTTTCTTTTTTAGCTGGGAGCTGAATTTATGTTTTTTATGCTCTCTACCACTGGAAAATATTCTGGTTTTTCTAAATAAAGATTATTTTGTAAGATTTATTTTGTCAGTCTCATAATGAAATGAACATAATTTTTTTATGACATGGACTCTGTAAAGATGTTTTTGCTAAAAGTCATGTGCTTTTTATGGAACCAAAAATCTAAATCATGGACATAGGATCGGTTAATCTTCATAATTATAACCATCACTAGGGAACGTCTCAAAGGTAAAAAGGACATTAGATCATTATGATGCTGACAGCTTAGCCATCTTGACAGTCATATCTGTACTATACAGTACTCTGGTTGCCATCTTGACAGTCATATTTGTACTATTCAGTACTCTGGTAGGTTGTCGTCTTGATAGTCATATTTGTCCTATACAGTACTCTGGTTGGTTGTTGTCTTGACAGTCATATCTTTCCTATATAGTACTCTGGTTGGTTGTCGTCTTGACAGTCATATCTGTACTATACAGTACTCAGGTTGGTTGTCTTGACAGTCATATCTATACTATACAGTACTCTGGTTGGTTGTCACCTTGACAATCATATCTGTACTATACAGTACTCTGGTGGTTAGAGTGTCTGCCTCAGATGCAGCAATCACAATCAGGTTTAAAGCAGAAACATTTATGTCAAACTGCATTGGCAGTAGAATCTGGTGATTCTTCATTGATTTTTTAAAAATAAAATTTAATTTTAAAATTTGATTAACCATTGTGTGTTCTTTAAATAACTTTCAGCCTACATGGTTCCAATCATGTCTCTCGAACATATACCAGGTTGTTTATAAATATACAATAATGAAGGCACCACTCCAGTGGCCTAGTGGTTAGAGTGTCTGCCTTGGATGTGGAAGGTCATGGGATTGATCCCCAGCTAAGTCATACCAAAGATTTACAAAAATGTTACTAACAGCTACCTTGCTTGGTGCTTAGCATTAAGAGGTTAGTGTTAGGACTTATCAGACTGGTGACAGGATAATGTGACTGGGTGGGACATATGCTACATGTCTGTGGCATGATGCCTCAGTGCTAAACATAACTATAAACTGTCACACTGCAGACATCATAGCAGTATGACTGAAATTTTTTTAAAGCTAGGTTAAAACTCCAAATCATACACATACATACACACACACAAAAACTAAACACCTTAAAAAAGTTAAATTTAAAGATTGCTTGGTCCACTTTACAGATTGTTTCATTGTTTTGCAACCAAAAGAAGGTGTTGTTGACTAAGCTTCTCTGGTCTGTGTCTTATACACACTCTAGACACAAAATACAAAAAAAGCCTCTCTTCTGGACATATAAAATACATGCAACTTTATAATGCCAAATGCCTGCATTGTAAACTTTACATCAGTTCCTTGCACCATGTGGTTTGTGTATTGGTTGGTTAGCATATGATACCTTAACAACAAATAAATCGTAACCATCGGACTATATACAGGAAATGGATGTTAGGTGTTAAATATGTGTTTTAAATTGCAAGTCAGCTTGTTATCAGTTAGTAATTAATTTTTGAACAGAGTTGCAAGGTATAAATACCCATTTTTGATTATGTTCTAAAGCTTTATTCTTCTTGTAGGTAAAATAATTTTAAAAAAATTATTTTGAACCCCGGAGTTCAATAAGTCATGGAAGGCTAATACTAAGACTAAAGCTGCAGCAAATCCAGAACTGAAAATGACAGTTTCTGAAACATTTAACAATTAGGCATATCATTGTTTTTCTCTTTTTGTCACAAATTACTATATCTCCTTTAATGTTTTTGTATTAAATTTCACAAATATAAGGCTACATATATAAACATATTTTTAGGAAATATGTCTGGCAAGAGCCATTAGAATCAGGCCTGGACAAGAGGAAGGTGAATGAGGCAACCGCCTAGGGCCCCACGGTATTCCCCAATGTAATTTGTTTGCTTGGGGCCCTGCACTCATTGCTTGCTGCCTTATGCCCCACATGCTGCCTTGGGCACAACACATCCTAGGGCCTGATTTACCTGTCAAAAATCAGAGAATTTAAAAGAATGTCATATTTCCGATTTTAAGACACATTTCTTACTGTTGGATATTGTATCATCATTGGAAACACATACTTTCTTGTTACTTCATCACAACTGAATACATTATAGTTTACAAACATGATGGAGGCACTGTTCCATCTTGGAAGGTCTAATGATTACTACTGTATTATTATAATTAATAGATAGTTTGCTTTTCACAAAATTTTGTCATCAGAAGTCAAAGGATAATTTCTAAATTTACACAAAATATGTAATGTCTCATCATATCTTCATCATGTTACTGATTGGATTTTAAAATATGACACAAATATGTATGACTATTGATGTATGTAAGGGCATGGCTATTGAGATGTACATGGGGAGGGGATGGTAATTTGAAAAATGTTGGGTCAAAGACCATGCATATCAAATTTGTGTATTAATGATGGTATCGTTCTCATTCCCATTTCCTTAAACCTGTGATAGAGTTACTAATCAATGATGTATTAGCAAAAACTAAATTATTAATTGCAGTCAAATGTTGTGACACAAACCCATCTTACAATTTAACATGTCTACGTATATATTAAATTACAAAGGTTAATGATGACCTCAATGCCTAATCCTATTGGTTACATTGAAATGATATTACCTAGTAAAACTGTTTGCATACCAGTCAACTAAAGCATGATTAGTTTAGTTTACATGTATGAAAGCATGAACTATATCAATGGGTATTTGAATATCAAGCAACTTTTTAAAGAGTGTCTCATGACTGACCCTGTCAAATGCCTTACTAGCATCTAAAAAGCATCCAAACACTCGGCTGCCATGTTGTATATAATATTTCACTGTTTCCTTAAAAGGATATTCATGTAGCGGTTTAAATTTGTTGAATGTTGTTTTTTAAAACCAAAGTGATTATAAAAAAATGAATTCACATTGTCATGGTACATTGAAATAATTGTCATAAGAGCTACAGGTCGATAATTATTTTTATCATTTTTACTTCTCACTAGTGAGATAATTGTAACTTTTACGTTTATAAAGTCATCTGGAACAAAGCTATGGTCATCATTAAATGAAATCATTAAAAGGGAATGAACTCTAGTATCTAGTAAAATGTTCTGTGTGTGTGTGTATGCGTTAAAACTGTCAATTTACTCCATTTCAGGGACATTGTGGTTGCTGTAATTAAACCACAAATTACAAGACCCAATGAATACAGATGTTTTTCCCAGTCATTGAATTTCAGTATGAAGAAAAATGTTTGTTTTTTGAAAACCATGAAAATTGAGCAATATGAAAGATTTTATAGTATTGTGGTCTTCTTTAATGTGATAATTTTAGATGACCAATAAACAGCGTACTTTAAATTTATTTGTTTCCATAGTTTTGCACAAAATTTCATTTTATCGCACAAAATGTCATTTTATCTGGTACTTGAAAATCATAAAACACAAGCTTTATTCAGAGCTTGTGATTAACCAGCACTCAAAAAAAATCTATAACAGAAGTAAACTCTTTTGCAATTTGTTGATTAAAAATCTCAAATTCAAGCTCGTGGGTTTCAAGATTTCCAATCCTAAAGTAAACTCTTTTGCAATTTGTTGATTATAAATCTCAAATTCAAGCTCGTGGGTTTCAAGATTTCCAATCCTGATTTGTGAGTTTCAAGATCTCCAAGCTTGAATTGTGGATTTGATTTATGGTTTTCATGATTTCCAAGCCTGATTTCTGGGTTTCAAGATCTCCAAGCCTGATTTCTGGGTTTCAAGATCTCCAAGCCTGATTTCTGTGTTTCATGAATTTCAAGCCTGAGTTGTGGGTTCTGAGTTTGGCTTGAAATTCATGCAGTTTTGAAAACATGGGATCAAGTCTGGTACATCCAGGATCAGTGAATGTTTTGAATTTTCTATCCCACCTAGCTGCCCCCAACTTAAAAGACAACATTATGCCAACATTCTAGTCATCAAACCTTAATTTGAACTAATTATCCTTAAATATATATTATGGAATAAGACATTATTAGTAAATTTTAGATCATATTTAACTCTTAAGTATCAGACAATGATTTCACTTACATAATTTAGTTGGACCTACATGTATGTCTTAAATCCAGTGATCTGAATGGATGAAATTTAAGTCAAACTTAAAGTTCGTCAATCAAATGTATTAAGTCTAGACTTAAATTTAAGACATATGTTAGTGTTATTACATTGACTTGTATTGGTGAGATTGGGTTAAAATGACTGAAATTCAAGACTTAAGTTTAAGTCAAGTATTATAGTTACATTGGTGAAATACAGGCCTGTTGTGCATGTTGATATATCTTATATCATCATACAGTGGTAAATTGAGTGTATTGTTAATGAAATATATTTGTCTGTTTCAGGACACAGCAGGCCAAGAAAGGTATAGAACCATCACAACAGCTTACTACAGAGGAGCCATGGGTTTCATTCTTATGTATGATGTAACAAATGAGGAGTCTTTTAATGCAGTCCAGGATTGGTATGTGTGCATTTTAATGAATTTGTGAACAAAAAAGTGAGTGTGTAGACAATGGGGGGAGTGTATTTATACTTGGATTTTTTTTATGAAAACCTTTCTTATCAGTATTATATCTACTTGATACACACAAGAAAACTTGGTGTAATTCAATGAGCTTGTTTCTTCACATTGGTAAGGACATGATTACATTTCACACCATTGTTAATCTTTTGCATTTCTTTTAAATTTATTGGACTTGTACAAATATTGGCATCATGTTTAATCCATATAAAAAACAAAATATGTTTACAAGTTCAGATCAAAGATTATATCTGGTGATATCAGGTGTGAGTGAGACACAGAATAAGTAGTATATTTTCAATGTGTGTGACCATTTTGGCTATGTTTCCACATTTTCTGTTGATAGTAACTATACATGACATGTTTACAAGAAAACATAGGGTTTTCTTGAATTTGAAACAAGTGTTCTACAGATTCATTTTAGTTTGATATAGACTTAAGCAGCAGACCAGTCTATATTGAAAACAACATGGTGCCAAATATTAAGTGACACTGGCTTTATTGATGTGACTCGTGGATGTTATGTGACTAAAAATACTGCAGAAGAGTGATTTTTTTTAAAACTGAGAACATGTTGCTTCAGGAAAAAGAACAAATCAATAGCACTTTACAAATTTTAAAGATGAATTCAACAGCAATGTAATACAGCATTCACAATTTATGGACTTTATGATCTTTTTAGCAAAAGTTAAACATGTAAACTAAAAGTGAATGTTATGTATAAATAATTATCATTTTGTTTTGTGTCTGTATTCTCATATTAATCCATATTCATTTAGCCGATTTGTGACAAGAATTAACTGAAGATTCATGTAAGAAGTAAAAATAAATGTATGTTTTTCATACTGTTTTCTGTCACTATGGAATATAAAATGTAGATTACTCATTTTATGGTCAGACTGCTGCTCATATTGGTAATAATTACACGTATACCTCATGACATGTATGACCTTAAATAAAGCAGTTCAGGTTCACATTTACTGGTAATATAATTTTCCTTTGATCAGGTACCAAGATAACATATCATTTGGATCAACAGGTACCTGGGTGACTTTTTCTAACATTTTGACATTAGTAATTGTCTGTTAAAACACGGAGAAGATTGCTGTTCTAGGTGAAAGAAATCCAATAACCAAATTGAATTAATTAATTGGTAACCAAATTTCAGGCATCAGGTGCTTGGTTACCCTGAGTACTGTTTATAAATGAGTGTATTTGGCATAACTCCTCGCAGTATTGCACATTTCTTCTCTGATTCTGTTGTTTTAGAGTCACTTTTGGTTTGGTTAGTTAAAAGTAAACT